AAAAATATACAGGAATTAGCCAGGCAGGGTGGTGCACACCTGTAGTCCCAGCTACTCTGGAAGCTGAGGTGAGAGGATCGCCTGAGCTGGGGAGGTGGAGGTTGCAGTGAGCCAAGATTGCACTGCTGCACTCCAGCCTTGATGACAGATCAAGAGCCTGTCTATTATCATTATTATTATTATAAAGTAGGGTTGGCCACAGTGGCTCATACCATTCATTCCAGTGCTTTGGGAGGCTGGCTGAGCCAGGAGGATCACTGGAAGCCAGGAAAACAAGACCAGCCTGGGCAACATAGGGAGACCCCGTCTCTATAGAAAATTTAAAATTTAGCCAAGCACGGTGGTGGTACGTGCCTGTGGTCCCATCTACTCCGGAGGCTGAGGTGGGAGAACTGCCTGATGCTAGGAATCTGAGGCTGCAGTGAGCTGCGACTGTACCACAGCGCTCCAACTTGGGCGACAGAGCAAGACCCTGTCTCTAAAGAAAAGAGAAAAAGAGTAGATTGATGTCATGGGAAATGACAAATAATTGCTGGTGCAGGCAGCACAGGAAGGTGGTCGCCGCCTTGACCAGTGGGAACCAAAGGCTGAAACTCAGTGATAACTGACTCCCCTGGACCCCTGGCCCGCAAGAGGGTGCCAGAGGCCACTGAGTCCTTTGCCTGGGCTTGTGTGCCTGAGCCAGGTTCGGCCCCCCAGCCTCATGCCGCACCCCACCCTCCCCGCAGGGTCCAGGTGCGGAAGTATGGAGAGCAGAAGAAGTTGTTTATCTTTCCCGGGCTCCTCCCCGAAGTGCCCTCCGAACCAGGGCTCCCAAAGCCACAGGCCACAGTCCCCTGCAAGGTGGATGGCGGTGAGTCAGGCTGGCTGTGCCGGCAGGGGTGGATAGGCAGGTCTGCCCTGTGCACCCCCCATCCCATTGTCCTGCCGCCCCTCTATCCATCCATCTCTTGAAATCACTGCCTGGTCTCTTACAGGAGGGACCGCTGCAGCCAGCAAGCCCAAGTCCACACCCGCAGTGCCTCAGGTTTCAGGGAGGTGGGGCAGGAGGGAAGATGGCACACCCCAGGGCCCTGCGGGGACCCAGAGCCAGCTGATGGAGGGGCTCTGTCCCTTCAGGGTCCTAGCGGGAAGGACAAGGAGCTGGTGTTGGGCCTGAGCCACCTCAACAACTCCTACAACTTCAGTGTGAGTGTCTGCAGTGCCTGCGGCCCTACCGTCACCCCAGAGCACGGGACCCCCAAGCTGAGCCCTCCTGCAGCCCTACTGTGTCCCCAGAGCACGGAACCCCCAAGCTGAGCCTTCCTGTGGTCCCACCATCACCCCAGAGCATGGGATCCCCAAGCTGACTGTCGCCCCAGACCACAGGACCCCCAGGCTGAGCCCTCCTCTCTCCCCCCGCCCAGTTCCACGTGGTGATCGGCTCTCAGGCGGAAGAAGGCCAGTACAGCCTGAACTTCCACAACTGCAACAATTCAGTGCCAGGAAAGGAGCATCCATTCGACATCACGGTGAGCGGAGGGGAGGGCAGCAGGGCCAGGGAGCGCCCACTGCGGGCCCGGAACACCACACCCCTCGTAGCTTCTCCCAGCCCTCCCGGGTGCGGAGTAGGAGCTGTTATACCCATTTGGGAGATGGGGCCAACTGAGGCTCAGAGTGGATGAGTGGCCCAGTAGAAAGGGGGAGAGCGGGAGACCCCCACTCGCTGCTCTCCCAGGCCAGAGGTCAGGCTGTGCCGCTGCCGCCGCCGCCCACCACTGTCCCCTCCCCAGGTGATGATCCGGGAGAAGAACCCCGATGGCTTCCTGTCGGCGGCGGAGATGCCCCTTTTCAAGCTTTACATGGTCATGTCCGCCTGCTTCCTGGCCGCCGGCATCTTCTGGGTGTCCATCCTCTGCAGGAACATGTAATGCCCCTGCCCCTGGGGGTCCCCCCTGTCCCTTCACCAGACCCCCATCCCTATGCCGTGCTGATGCCCCCCACCCCATCTCTCCCTGACCCTCCCACCAGGTACAGCGTCTTCAAGATCCACTGGCTCATGGCGGCCTTGGCCTTCACCAAGAGCATCTCTCTCCTGTTCCACAGTGTGAGAGCCTTGGAGCGGGGCAGCGGGGGGTGGGCTGGGAGGAAGAGACCATCTGGGCCAGCCCCCAAATCTGCAGACCCTGGGCTTGTGGGAGGGCCGTCCACCAGCTCTCCACGTGTCCACCCATTTTACCAGTGTGGCCAGCCGCCCGTCCCCTCTGTCCGCCAGTCCTGCTGGGCGGCTCTGTCCGTCACTGACCCTTGGTTCAGCTGTGACTGTCCGTCTCATTGATTGTCCAACCATTCATCCTTCCAACTGTGACCGTTCCCTCCATTTTTTCAGCCCCAGTTACCAGTTCTGAGTCCCACCCACCGTCCTCATTATTCAACTTTCTAACCACCCATCTGATGGTGACGGTCTGTGTTCCTAATCCTGCCCCCACCACCACCACCAGCCTCCCACCCCTCCGTGTGCCTCACTGTCCGTCTGTCCGTCCACCCCCAGATCAACTACTACTTCATCAACAGCCAGGGCCACCCCATCGAAGGCCTTGCCGTCATGCACTACATCACCCGCCTGTGAGTGCGCCCGCTCTGCCTGGCAGCTGGGGGGAGGCGGGCAGGGGAGGGCGGGCCCCCCACCTCATCATCACACCGTCCCCTGCCCCCCCAGGCTGAAGGGTGCTCTTCTCTTCATCACCATCGCCCTGATCGGCTCAGGCTGGGCCTTCATCAAGTGCGTCCTGTCGGATAAGGAGAAGAAAGTATTTGGGATCGTGATCTCCATGCAGGTGCAGATGGAGCGGCTTCCGGAGCAGGGTGGGGAGGGCTGCACGGGGCGGTGGGGGCAGAGGGGAGCGCGCTGGGCAGTGCCCACCCACCCCCGCCACCTGCGCAGGTCCTGGCCAACGTGGCCTACATCGTCATCGAGTCCCGAGAGGAGGGCGCCAGCGACTACGTGCTGTGGAAGGAGATTTTGTTCCTGGTGGATCTCATCTGCTGCGGCGCCATCCTGTTCCCCGTAGTCTGGTGAGGACCCTGCCCCCAGCTGAGGCCCTGCCCTGTGCACATGGGCGATGTCCGTGCTGACCGCACCCTGTGTCCTCCACTTGTCCCAGGTCCATCCGGCATCTCCAGGATGCGTCTGGCACAGACGGGAAGGGTGAGGCCCTGCACCTGTGGGCCCTCTGCTCATGGCCCTCTTCTTGCCCCAGGCCCTTCTTTCTGCCTCTTGGATGCCCTTCCTGGCCTCTCTGCCCAGCCCCCAGGCCTCTGCCTCTCTGGACACCCCAGTCTGGCCTCTCTTCCCCCCAAATGCCTCTATCTGGCCTCTCCGCCCCATTGGGGGGCCCTTCCCTCCTCTCTGATCTGCCCCTTCGGCCTTTCTGCCCCACCTAATGTCCCTCCAGACTTTCTGCTCATTGGACACTCCCTCAGATGTTCTGTTTGTCCCCTCTCCCAGCCCCCAGTCCCCAGCCCCCTTGCCTCCCTCCCACCTTCAGTCTCCCCTGACGCCCCTCTCTGTGCCCACCCTCAGTGGCGGTGAACCTGGCCAAGCTGAAGCTGTTCCGGCATTACTATGTCATGGTAGGAGCCCGCCTCGCTCATGGGGGGTTTAGAGGGATTACCGACCTGCTGCACACCCACCCCAGCCCCTCGGCCGCTGCCCCACCCCGAGGCCCCCACCCAGACGCCCCAGCCCGTGGTCCATCCATCCAGCCCCACGCCTGCCTGTGCCCCTGCAGTCCAGCCCCACGCCTGCTTGCGCCCCTGCAGGTCATCTGCTATGTCTACTTCACCCGTATCATCGCCATCCTGCTGCAGGTGGCTGTCCCCTTTCAGTGGCAGTGGCTATACCAGGTGAGCCTGAGGCCCGGGTGGGACAGGAGGGCGGCCGCGGTGAGGGGGGCATGAGCCTGACACCCCCACTCTGTCCTGTCACCCAGCTCTTGGTGGAAGGCTCCACCCTGGCCTTCTTCGTGCTCACGGGCTACAAGTTCCAGCCCACAGGGGACAACCCGTACCTGCAGCTGCCCCAGGAGGACGAGGAGGATGTTCAGATGGAGCAAGTGTGAGCCAGGCACCATGGCAGGGCTGGTGGCTCTGGGGGCGGAGTAGGGGGCGGGCAGCTCTCAGGGCAGGGTGGGCGGGGGGAGGGATGTAGCAGCCCTAGGGACAGTGTTAGGGCAGAGCCTGCTGTTGAGGAGGGATGGAGGGGAGATGGGGGCAGCCAGGGCAGCTGTGCAGATGGAGACTGGACAGCTGTGGAGTGCCTGAGGCCAGGCTGAGCTGGGGGTGGGGTTAGGGCTGCTAGGGCGACACCCAGGGCTGCTCTGGAGGTGGGGGTGGGCGGGGCCTAGGTAGTTGGGGGTAGAATGGGTGGGGCCTGGGCTACTGTGGGGGTGAGGTGGGTGGGGCCTGAGTGGTTCAGGGTAGGGTGGGCGGGGCCAGGGCTGCTGTGGCGGGGGCGGGGCCTAGGTGGTTGGGGTAGAAGAGTAGGGCCTGGGCTGCTGTAGGGGGTGGGTGGGCGGGGCCTGCTGCCCTGCAGCGCTGGATGCCTCCTTGCTGTCTGCCCCCAGAATGACCGACTCTGGATTCCGGGAAGGCCTCTCCAAAGTCAACAAAACAGCCAGCAGGCAGGAACTGTTATGATCACCTCCACATCTCAGACCAAAGGCTCCTTCTCCCCCAGCATTTCTCACTCCTGCCCTTCCACAGCGTATGTGGGGAGGTGGAGGGGGTCCATGTGGACCAGGCGCCCAGCTCCCCGGGACCCCGGTTCCCGGACAAGCACATTTGGAAGAAGAGTCCCTTCCTCCCCCCAAGTATTGGGCAGCCCTGTCCTCACTCCGGGACCACCCCTCCCTTCCAGCTATATGTACAATAATGACCAATCTGTTTGGCTACGCCGGTGTCTTGCCTTTTTGGGGGTTGGGGTCTACACGGAGGTTGTGTTTACAATGTAGAAACCTGTTTTCGCTGTGTGGGTGGGGGGCAGAGGGTCCGTGTCTTTGCACATTCAATAAATACTCATTTAGTAACAGCTGCATGCAGGGCCCAAAGCCAGGCGTTGGGACGGAGCAGTCACCAAGACCCACCTGGTCCCAGCCCTTGAGGGGCTCCCAGTGCCCAGGGTGGGGGTCAGGCAGAGGGACATGTCACCTGGCAATGCCATCACTGGGCCATCAGCGCCGTGTCGGGGACTGCACAGGGCCCTGACCCAGCCGTGGGGGTCAGGAAAGGTCAGTAGAAACATGGTGGAAGAGCTTATGCGCCGATGAGGGAACCGCAGGCATGAAAGCTGGGGGCGAGGGGAAAACGGGGATTTGAAGACACCCAAGTGGCTCAGGCTATAGAGGAAAAGAAGGAATAGGCCGGGTGTGGTGGCTTACGCCTGTAATCCCAGCACTTTGGGAGGCCAAGGCAGACAGATCGTTTGAGGTCAGGAGTTCGAGACCAGCCTGGTCAACATGATGAAACCCTGTCTCTACTAAAAATACAAAAATTAGCCGGGCCTGGTGGCAGGCGCCTGTAATCCCAGCTTCACCAGGAACCTGAAATGGGAGAATCGCTTGAGCCAGGGAGGCAGAGGTTGCAATGAGCAGAGATCGCACCACTGCACTCCAGCCTGGGCAACAGAACAAGACTCCATCTCAAAAACAATAATAATAGAAGCTAACCGGGCACAGGGACAAGTGCCTGTAGTAGTTTCAGTTACTCGGGAGGGCAATGCAGGAGTATCACTCAAGCCCAGGGGTTAAAGCCCGGCTGGAGCAACAAGCAAGACCCCATCTCAAGAAAAGAAAAAATAAGACGAGGTAACACAGAGTGATCGCTATGTCACATTGTATGTTAAGGCTTCTGTGGATTTTAATTTGTTAAAAAGCCTGTGAGGCACAGAGAGGATAAGAAACCTCCCTGAGGTCACACAGCTAATGAGTGAATGGGAGACTCCGGGCTCAAAGCCTGACACCGACTGTGTGCATTGCTGCTCTGTAGCTAGACTCCCTGGGACCAAACTTCTCAGCCTGTTAGCATTTGGTGTGTGACCCTGGATCACTGGCTTACCCTCTCTGTTTCGTCGCATATAACACGGGGCCTCCTTTTTTTTTTTTTTTTTTTTTTTTTGCAGGTAGGTCTCGGCTCATCACCCAGGCTGGAGTGCAGTGGCCCCATCTCGGCTCACTGCAAGCTCCGCCTCCCGGGTTTCACGCCATTCTCCTGCCTCAGCCTCCCGAGTAGCTGGTTTTTTTTTTTTTTTTTTTTTTTTGAGACGGAGTCTCGCTCTCTCGCCCAGGCTGGAGTGCAGTGGCCCCATCTCGGCTCACTGCAAGCTCCACCTCCCGGGTTTACGCCATTCTCCTGCCTCAGCCTCCCGAGTAGCTGGGACTACAGACGCTCACCACCTCGCCCGGCTATTTTTTTGTATTTTTTACTAGAGACGGGGTTTCACCGGATTAGCCAGGATGGTCTTGATCTCCTGACCTCGTGATCCGCCCGTCTCGGCCTCCCAAAGTGCTGGGATTACAGGCTTGAGCCACCGCGCCCGGCCAACACGGGGCCTCCTAAGTGTTGAGTATCACATACAATAAGAGGTGTCTGGCTTGGCACAGCGCCCAGCTGCACAGCCTCGGCCTGACTTCTAGGGAACCAGCCCTGAATCTTGAGGGGCAACTGTGGAATTAGAGATCCACCTGTGCACACAGTTAAGGGCAGGCTCCCAAGATGGGTCTCCACCCCCCACCCACCTGCCCTTCAACTAGAGCACCCAGAATGCCTTTTGAAGCTCAGAGAAGGCTTCCTCACTGAAGACCACAAGCATGGGACAGAGGCAGGGAACAGGGCTGGGGTGAAGGTTTCCTGTAAGCAGAAACAAATATAGCTGGGGCGCAGATGAATAAATAGCCCGGTCAGACAAAGAAGGAAGTGGGAGGCATTGCAGACTGGGGAAGTTACATGAACACGGCGGGGAAGGCTGGGATGGCCCACAAGGCTGGAGGGGGCAGGAGGAGGGTGAGAGAAGCTGACAGAGGCCTAAGGACAGGCAGGCACAAGGGGCTTCATCCAGGGGTCCACAGGAGCCATGGAAGAATTTAAAGCAGGGAGGAGCACGGCCAGAGAGACGGCATGTGCATGCTGCAGTCGGCTGAGTCATACGTCCCCTCAAAGATGGGCACACCCAGCCGGCGTGGTGGCTCACACCTGTAATCCCAGCACTTTGGGAGGCCTAGGTAGACGGATCACACGTCAGGAGTTCGAGACCAGCCTGGCCAACATGGTGAAACCCCATCTCTACTAAAAATACAAAAATTAGCTGGGCATGGTGGTGGGCACCTGTAATCCCAGCTACTCGGGAGGCTGAGGCAGGAGAACCACCTGAATCCAGGAGGCGGAGGTTGTAGTGATTTGAAATCGCACCACTGCACTCCAGCCTGGGTGACAGAGTGAGAGACCTATCTCAAAAAAAAAAAAGATGTGCATGTCCAAATCCCCAAGGCCTGTGGATATATGTTCTGTTACACAGCAAAAGGGACTTTGTGCATGGGATTAAGGATATTAAAATGTGTGTGTGTGTATGCGGGGTGGGGTGGTATCTCAGATTATCTGGATATGCCCAATATCATCACAAGAGTCTTTATAAGAGGGAAGTGGAGGCCAGGCGTGGTGGCTTACACCTGTAATCCCAGCATTCTGGGAGGCCAAGGATCACCTGAGGTCGCGAGTTTGAAACCAGGCTGGCCAACATGGTGAAACCCTGTCTCTACTAAAAATACAAAAATAAGCTGGGCATGGTGGTACACGCCTGTAATCCCAGCTACTTGGGAGGCTGAGGCAGGATAATTGCCTGAACCTGGGAGGCAGAGGTTGCAGTGAGCGAGATCACACCATTGTACTCCAGCCTGGGCAACAAGAGTGAAACTCTGTCTCAAAAAATAAAAAATAAAAAATAAAAGAGCCAGGTGGGAGGGTCAGAGTTGGAGAAGGAGACACAGTGACAGAGGCAGAGGCTGCAGTGATTCCAAAGGCCCACAAGCCAAGGAATGTAGGCGGTTCCTAGACGCTGAAAAAGGCAAGGAAATGGGTTCACCTGTTTCCTCCAGAAAGGAACGCAGTCCTGTTGACACCTTGATTTTAGATGTCTGACCTCCAGAACTGTAAGAAAATAAACATGTTGTTTTAAGCCACCGAGTTTGCAGTCATCTTTTGCTGTAGCAGTTAAGAACTCACACAGTTTAAGAGCACGCTCTCTATACAGCCCAGCTGTCTGAGTTCAGATTCCGACACTTACCAGCCGCAGGATCTCGGGCAAGCGGCCGAAGCCTCTGTTTCTTCATCTGTAAAGTGGGGCAATGATAGTACCTACAGCATGTGGTGTAAACAAGGGTTAAAATACGTGAAATAGACAAGTTGCCACCACGCGCATCTCACAGGCGTTTGTGAACATGAGTGTGCATTCCTGTGTTATACATCATGATTTGTCAAAGGAATACAAAGGTAGGGTTTTTGTTGTTGTTTGAGACACAGTCTTGCCCTGTCACCCAGGTTAGAGTGCAATAGTGTGATCTCGGCTCACTGCAACCTCTACCTCCTGGGTTCAATTAATTCTCCTGACTCAGCCTCCCTAGTAGCTGGGATTACAGGCATGTGCCACCATGCCTGGCTAATTTTGGATTTGTAGTAGAGATGGGGTTTCACCATGTTGGGCAGGCTGGTCTCAAAATCCTGGCCACAAGCGATCCACCCATCTTGGCCTCCCAAAGTGCCAGAGTTATAGGCATGAGCCACCATGCCCGGCCCAAAGGTGGATTTTAGAAAGGAAGGAGTCGCCAAGCCAGGCATGGCGACGTGCACCTTGTCCCAGCTACTCAGGAGGCTGAGGCGGGAGGATTGCTTCAGCCCAGGAGTTTGAGGCCAGAGTGGGCTATGATTGCACCACTCCAGCCTGAGTGACAGGGCCAGACCCTGTTTTTAAAAGAATAAAATATGGCTGGGCGTGGTGGCTCACACCTGTAATCCCAACACTTTGGGAGGCCCAGGTGGGCAGATCATTTGAGGTCAGGAGTTCAAGACCAGCCTGGCCAACATAGTGAAACCCCATCCCTACTAAAAATACAAAAAATGAGCCGGGCGTGGTGGCCGGTGCCTGTAATCCCAGCTACTTAGGAGGCTAAGGCAGCAGAATTGCTTGAACCAGGGAGGTGGAGGTTGCAGTGAGCCGAGATCGCACCATTGCACTCCAGCCTGGGCGACAGAGCGAGACTCCGTCTCACCAAAAATAAATAAATAAATAAATAAATAAATAAATAAATAAATAAATAAAATAAAATAAAAGTAAAGAGTCTCTAGCTGCTTCAGAGTAAATGGGCTGGTAGGGATGACGCTGGGGCAAAGGTCCTCACCTCTGCAGAGATCACAGGTGTGGAGAGGGAGGATGAACTGGGAGATTCCAGCCAGAGGCTTCGCCAGCAGGTAAATTCTGGGAATGAGAAGCAGTGAGGAGTCCAGCTTGGAGACCTGGTGGGACCATCACCCAAGCAAGGCTGGGGTAGAAGACGCAGGTGTTAGCAAAAATAAAAATACAGTTCATCAGGAGTTCAAGACCAGCCTGGCCAACATGGTGAAACCCCGTCTCTACTAAAAATACAAAAACGAGCCGGGTGTGGTGGCAGGTGCCTGTAATCTCAGCTACTTGGGAGGCTGAGGCAGGAGAATTGCTGGAACCCTGGCGGCAGAGGTTGCAGCGAGCCGAGATCGCGCCATTACACTCCTGCCCTGACCAACGACAGCGAGACTCTGTCTCAAAAAAAAAAAAATACAATTCAAGTGTACTGAGCGCTCAGTACGTGCAGGGCACTGGGCTACGGTTTGTTTCCCAGGTGCCACTCGGGACTTTCGTTCCAAGACTAGAAAGGAGGTTCTAGGCTGTGGATCTCCAGTTAACAGATTAGGAACCAAGGCTGGGAGGAGGGGCTGGACCTTCCCAGGGGCCCTGCAGAGCTGGAATCAAAACCCACTGCTCTCCATTTTCCCAGGGCTGGAGTCCATAGGGCCCCAGCTAGTTTCTGCTGAGTACGAGAGCGAGAGGAGGGAAAGAGCCATTGTTGCCAGGCAGATAGACTGAGTCAGCCAGGTCAAGGTTAACTTGAATTAATCAGTAACAGAGTGGGAGCAGGGGATGGCCTGGCTGTGGGTCCTGGAGAAAAATTCTAGGAAAGCAGTCACCTCAACCTGGAATTAGACGGTGGGATAGGGGGTTTCCCAGCTGCTCCCAGGCCTGGCTGCCCCTTTGTTGGGGGAAGGGGAGGGATGGGGTATAGTGGGCAGTAAGTGAACTCAGGCAGGTGTGAGGCAGGGGCACCTGGGTCCGCCACCCAGAAATCATTTCCACTTCCTTCCTCTCATTTTCTTTCTTCTTTGTCTTTCCTTTTTTTTTTTTTTTTTTTTTTTGGAGACAGAGTCTTGCTGTGTCATCCAGGCTGGGGGGCAGTGGTGCAGTCATAACTCATTGCAACCTCTAACTCCTCCTGCCTCAGCCTCCTGAGGAGCTGGGACTGCGGCATGCCAACATGCCCTGCTAATCTTTTTTTTTCAATTGTAGAGACGAAGTCTCACTATATGTCTCAGGCTGGTCTCGAACTCCTGGGCTCAAATGATGCTCTCACTTCAACCTCCCAAAAGTGCTGGATTACAAGCATGAGTCACCGTACCCCGGCCCCTTCTCATTTTCCCCTTGCACCCCGGCGAGGATTGCCAAACAGAATACAGGACGCTCAGTTACATTTGAATTTCAGATAAATAACAAACACTTTTTCAGTATATGTAGCTTCCAGATAACCCATGAATGTTCAGCCTGGGTGGCCGAACTCCCCTCCTGGATTCCCGGAATGCTGGGCTGGGTGGACATGTAAATGGAAAGTACCCTAATGCACACCCAGACCTCCTTCTCTCCCTCCCCTGCGGGCTCATCTTTGTGCACTATCCCCCTATCAAACTCTGGACACAAATGCACATCTCCCAGAAAAAGTCACGAGGTTCTGAAGAATTCTCCATCTCATCTCCCTCCCTCCCTCCCAGCAGGCTACCATCCGCTCCAGCCTCCAACCCCCTCACTTCTCATCCTGCCCCTCCCCTCTGGTCACTTCTTGGAGGTCAGGGTAGGGCCAGACCCTTCCCAGGTTGAAGTGATCCTCCTGGCTCAGACTCCCGAGTAGCTGAGATTACAGGCACCTGCCATCATGCCCAGCTAATTTTTTGTTTGTTTGTTTGTTTTGAGACGGAGTCTCGCTCTTGTCGCCCAGGATGGAGTGCAGTGGCATGATCTCGGCTCACTACAACCTCCACCTTCCAGGTTCAAGTGATTCTCCTGTCTCAGCCTCTCCAATAGCTGGGATTACAGGTGTCTGCCACCATGCCTGGTTAGTTTTTGTATTTTTAGTAGAGATGAGGTTTCACCATGTTGCCCAGGCTGGTCTTGAACTCCTGACCTCAAGTGATCCATCCGCCTTGGCTTCCCAAAATGCTGGGATGACAGGCGTGAGCCACCGTGCCTAGCCAGCTAATTTTTGTATTTTTTAGTAGAAACAGGGTTTCACCATGTTGGCCAGGCTGGTCTCGAACCCCTGACCTCCAGTGATCCCCCAGCCTCAGCCTCCCAAAGTGCTGGCATTACAGGCATGAACCACCACATCTGCCCCTCTGAGCCTGGTGGCTTCTAGGCATCCTGGCTTCTTTAAATGTCACAACTACCAGAACTATCTTCAGTCCCATCGTTTAGTTGGATTAACCGAGGCTCAGAGAAAAGAGGAACCCAGGTTTGCAGCTAGACAGAAGCCAGACAGGAATTCCTTCTCAAGGTTGTCAAACCACAGGGCCAAATGCTTGAGTCTAGAATGAAACCAGGAAATAGGGTGGCTTGAGGAGAAAGTGGGGGATAGAAGATGGAATGGGGCAATTGGAAGATCCAGTTTCTTTCTTTTTTTTTATTTTTTCATTTTTTATTTTTTGGCAATAGGGTCTCTCTCTGTCACCCAGGCTGGAGTGCAGTGGTGCAATCTCAGCTCACTGCAACCTCTACCTCCCGGGTTCAAAAGATTCTCCTGCCTCAGCCTCCCGAGTACCTGGGATTACAGGCACCCACCACCAAGCTAATTTTTGTATTTTTAGTAAAGATGGGGTTTCGCCATGTTGGCCAGCCTGGTCTCCAACTCCTGGCCTCAAGAGATCCGCCTGCCTCGGCCTCCCAAAGTGCTGGGATGACAGGCGTGAGCCACTGTGCCTGGCAAGGGGATGCAGTTTCAAAAGCTGAACCCCAATTCTGGAGAGCAAGCAGGTGTTTTCATACTCTCTCCTCCTCCTCCTCCTCCTCCTCCTCCAAAGAATGTGTTGCAATCAGTGCAGACAGACGCCAGGTTTGTTCTCATGCTCCACGCCTCCCCCTACCCCTGGCACGGAAAGGAACGTGGTTTACAGGAAATCAGAGAAAACTCCCCATTAACCCCTTCAATGGGGTTTCAGAAACCGTCTCTCTAGGGATAAGGGGGCCCTACCCACAGACCCTTCTCCTGCCTTCACCATCCACCTCCTATGCCTGGACAGCAATGCTGCTGACCATCAGAGGAATGCCAGTTAAGATGACACCGGCTGCCGGGGTGTGGTGGCTCACACCTGTAATCCCAGCACTCTGGGAGGCCAAGGCGGGTGGATCACCTGAGGTCAGGAGTTTGAGACCAGCCTGGACAACATGGCAAAACCCTGTCTCTACTAAAAATACAAAATAAATAAATAAATAAATAAATAAATAAATAAGCCAGGTGTGGTGACGTATGCCTGTGATCCCAGCTCTTTGGGAGGCTGAGGCAGGAGAATCGTTTGAACCCGGGAAGCAGAGGTTGCAGTGAGCCGAGATGGTGCCACTGCACTCCAGCCTGGGCGACAGAGGAAGACTCCATCTCAAAAGAAACAAACAAACAAACAAAAATGACACCAGGGTACCAGTTGTCACCCACAAGGCTGGCAAAAATCCTCAAGTTTGCCCCTGTGATGAGGCAGTGGGAGAAACTGACAGTTCTTCTCATGCACGGCTCATAAGTGTGTAAATCAATACAACTTCTGTGCACGGGAATTTGGCAATATCTAGCAAGATTACCAATGCATTCAGAGATTGACCCAACGTATTTCCTTTCATTGCAACAACAACTCTATGAAGTAGGTGGTAAGGGTATCCTTTTCCATGAACAAACTGAGGATCAGGCGGTAATCAGTAGCTTGCCCAAAGATTACAGCTAGTTTCAGAGCTAGCAAATAATGCAGGTTCAAGCTTATTCACTGCAGAGAGCCTGGTGTGAAGCCGCAGATGTCAATCTGTCCATCAATAAGAGGCTGGTGACTGGACACAGCGGCTCACGCCTGTAATTCCAACACTTTGGGAGGCCGAGGTGGGTGGATCACTTGAAGTCAGGAGTTCGAGATCAGCCTGGCCAACATGGTGAAACCCGGCCTCTACTAAAAATATAAAAATTGTCGGACAGGGTGGTGCGCACCTATTTCAGCCACTCCGGAGGCTGAGGCAGGAGAATTGTTTGAACCCGGGAGGTGGCGGGTGCAGTGAGCTGAGATAGCGCCACGACCCTCCAGCCTACTCTGTCTAAAAAAAACCCTCAAAAACAAATGAAATATCCCCCAACAAATAGCAGGCTGGTTACTTTCTCACAATATAACAAGAGGCCTGTAACCTGTAAGAATGAGGAAGTTCTTTGCGCACTGAGGTGAAATAGCCTCTGAGGTATATTGTTCATGAAAAAAAACAAAGCAAAATGAAACTCAAGATTTAACTGAAGAGACCGGGAAGAATAATATGTAATATGTGCTGTCCACAGGGCATGGTGGTTCACACCAGCACTTTGTGAGGCTGCTACAGGAGGATCACTTGAGCCCAAGAGTTCAAGACTGGACTGGGCAACGTTGTGGGACCCCCATCTCCACAAAAATAAAAAAATTATCCGGGCATGGTGGCAGCCACCTGTAGTCTCGGCTACTCAGAAGGTTGCGTCAGGATGGTCACTTGGCCCCAGGAGGTTGAGGCTGCAGCGAGCTGTGATTGCACCACTGCAATTTAGCCTGAGTGACAGAATGAGAAAAAAATTTAAAAAGGAAAAAACAAAAAGAATATGCTGTCAACAGGGGTGGGAGGAAGACTACCTTTCCCTCTATACACATTTCTACCTTTTAGATGTTGATCAATATGAATATATCATACACACAGACACACACACACACACAATACAATTTAATATCTGAAGAGGATGTTGACATAAGACAGGTACAAAAGCTCTAGAAATGAGGACTTTCCTCAGTGATGACTTTTCTCACCACCAAAGTCACTCGGGCATCCTGACAAGGGTAAGTGAGGGGAGCTTCCCTGGAAAATAAGCTTACCTGGATAGTGAACTCCTACACATACCTCAAAGCCCACCTGAAATGTCCCGTCCTACAGGAAGTTTTCCCTGACCTTCCAAGAAGCAGCGTTCTGTTTCACTGGGGAAAACATTTCTTCTTCTTCTTTTTTTTTCCCCCCTGCTCTGCACATGAGCTAGAAAACATTTCATGAAACTGGGAGTTTCTG